ATTCACACATGAAGCAAAGAGATAAATCCTAAAACCCCAATTCTCTCCTTTAAACCCTTCTCTGTATAGTGTATATCTTATCCACTCCCCCTACTTTATAGTAGGAAGGAGGAAGCAGAAATGGCATCTCTCTTATCCTATGCACCTTTCTCTTCAAAATGAAGAAGACAATATAAATTACAGAAAAAACAAAGAAATACACAAAAAAATTACAAAAATATAGAAAATCATAAAGATTTCTATACCATACTAAAAAATGAGAATGTTGTCTGTACCATTTATAAAAATGAGGGTGGTGACAATGTTTCGTGAAACAACCTAATTTTCACTTTCCATTTTTACCCTTTATTTTAGTTTTCTAATTTTATTTAATTAACGGTTAATAATTGTAATTGGATAAAGTAAATAAAATAATAATAATTTTTATTTTCTAATTTTACTTAATTAACGATTCACGCTTGTAACAAATAAAATAATAATAAAACCGCTATGGAACCTACTCCTCTCTCCCTTTGGGCCTTATCTGATCTTCTCCCAAATAGGGCTGCAATCGGATCAGATTCTGATTGGATGTAGCAAAATTTGCATTCGATTCGAATATTAAGAACCTACATTCAAATTTGATATGAAATTTGATTGGATTTAAAGACTCGGATTCGAATTTGAATTCTAACAAACTAATATCGGATTTGGATTTATTCCGACTCCACTTTAAATTCTCTAAAATACCAGTAAAATTATAAATTTATTTATTTTTCAACTTTTATATATAATAAACTAATATAAATATAACATACTAAATTTATTATATATAAATTCATATATAATATAATATTTTAAAATATTTTTATAAATTTTAATGTAATTATATAGAATTTATATGTTAAAATTAATAAATATTATAATATAATCATATTCAAATTTTAATCAAATCATATTGGGTCAAATCCAAATMCTATTTGATTATTAATTGGATATAGATTGTAACATCCAAATCTGATCCGATTACATAAATACGTAATCTGAATCCACGATAATCAAATTGGATGTTGAATTGGGCCTCGGATTTTCGGGTATCATTGACAGGCCTACTTCCGTCAACTCTACCTGACAAAAATCTTCATTGATTAGAGCCAACATGTGTCAAGTATCGGATGGTTTGCCCAAAATCCATGAATTCAAATTGAAGGGAGGAATGGATTTTTTTCGACCTCTCTATTTTCATCACTGAACAATCAATTAGATGATTAAATGAAGCYTTTTTTKATTTTCTCCCTATTTTTCAGGTGTTTTTCCCATTTCCCCTTTATTTCGATTGTCTTCGTTAACATAATAAGTTGTATTGGATCTGGAAATGCTTTCAAGTTCATTATATTGATTTGTTTTATGGTGTTTTTTCTCGGCGATCATCATGCTAATCCAATAATCTAACACCCTACCAATGTAATACCGTAGGGGTTTGATACTTGGTTGTGTCGTAAGGATTTGGAATGTGTTTTGTTGGCAGGAGATCTTGACTCTTTTACAAAAATCAGACGGATGTTCAATTCAAATCCGAATATAAATGAATCAAGATCAACCAATATCCAAACACTATCTGTTAGATATGCAAATAACGACCCCTCCATTGACGAGCAGAACGACATGAGGCAAAAGGCCAAATATTATCATTCACACATGAAGCGTAGAAATAAATTCTAAAACCCCAATTCTCTCATTTAAAATGAAAATGTTGAAATTGGTTTGGCCAAAACACCCTGATTTTACTTTTCAACTTTACCTTTAACTTTCTATTTTTCCCATTATATATATTGTCACTACAAAATAATTATGAAAAACATAAAATAAAGAAAACAATATAAATTACAAAAAACAAAGAAATACATTGAAAATTTACAAAAAAAATGTAGAAAATCATAGAAACTTATATATCGTACTGAAAAATGAGAGTGGTGCAATTGGTTTGGTCAAAACACTCTAATTTTAATTTTCAACTTTACCCTCAACTTTCTATTTTTTCCATTAAAAAATACATAAAAAATTTACAAAAAAATAAAAAATCATAAAAATTGAAAAAAATAACATAAATTACAAATCTATATCTGATATATAAAAGCATAATCAACCATCATCATGAATATCAGATACCCCATGCATGGCACGGGTCATTCCACTAGTTTTTTTTTTTTAAATAAAAGGAAACCGTATAACAAACATCCCTTAAAACGTTGATCGAGAGAAGGCTCGAGGGGGAGGCTATCAATGACAAGAAAGCACTCCATTCCACACTCTAATACTCTCTCTGATCATTGACAGCCCGTAGCGGCCATTCTAACGTTTTTCTGGGCACCTTTCGGCTTTCGAATTAATGACCGATCACTCTTTCTAGGCACCGAGTGGTGGCTCGGTTGGCACGTAACTGGGTAAGCCCCAGACGCAGCTAAATCCACCTTTGGTAGTGTAATGTTGCTATATAAAGTTTGCCTTATTATGCCATAAAAATTAAATTACGGCCTTATGGGGCGAAAGGCGAATAATCAATACCAAAAAAAAATTCTTTATGGGTTGACTCTGATGGTTTCTGGTCAGACGTTTGTGTTCTTCCATCTACTAAGGCCTGTTTGGTAAGTTTTTTTAAGAAAATCTTCTTATAGTTTTGATAGTAAATAAATACATTGAGCTTTTGATATAAGATCCGGACAGTTCGAAGACTGTTTGAGAGACTTGCATTTTCTGTGCATCATTTTGGGTCTTTTCGGACGAGATTAAAATACGGAAGATGCGAGAAGCTTCATTTGGAGCTTCCCGAAATCAGTCCAAAATGAGCGTTTCACATCTTTTCGATGCCCCGTCTTTTGGCGACAAGATCTTCGCATGCCAAATGGGAATAGACCAATTTTTGATCTTCCCAGCTTGTAAGCAGCTGAAAGACGTAGAAAAACACGCCAAACAAGCCCTAATTATCCGGAAAAATGAACTTCACAGTAAAATAGGTTATCTCTTGTTTCTCACATGTTTGATGTTTCCTTCAAATTGTAGCTTTTTTTAAGGGTTAATCCATACTGTACATGTGCAAGGTGATAAACTTCCTTCAATTTGCGCTAGAAACAAATTCTGATAATCTGAAGCGGTTTGTACTTTTGAACAGCCTATCTATCAACATGATTTACTAGGGGTGCATGTGGGTAGTACTGGTCCCCGGGTACTAGAGGCCCACCTCTCATAAATAGGTATGGAACTGGGCTAAGAAAACCTGGACAGATTGGTGGGTCGAGTCTACAGTTGCTCGATTAAAGGGGTCCTAGCATCTGTTATTGATAGTAGTTGATTACCCAAACTGGTTACTGGTAAAAGTGCAGAGTACTATTTCGGTAAAACGAGTTAAAGAGACTACAAATCTACATACACAAAAAAAAAAGAGAAAAAGAAAGAAAACGAACTGCTCATCGTTTCCAACACGTAGCAAGAATACAATGATCTAGAAAACGAAGAGTTTTTTGTATTCTATCTATGGACTGTCCAGGAAACAGAGAAAATTGGTTTAGGAAATACCAGAAAACTAAATATGAACTCGATGGGATGTCCATAATCCAACAAGCAACAATTGGTCTGGAGTAGTACTGGAGTGGAGGTATACATTCTGGATTCTATTTGAGGTCCTCAGGAGGCATCCTACAAACACCGGAGAAGGTGGGTCTCCTCCAAGAGCTCTTGGTTCGCTTTGGTGTGGCGTTGGCGGAGCTTGCAACCGTCCTCATCTTCTCAATCAAGGCCTCTGTGTTCACCTGTTCAGACAATATTTCCTCTAACTGTTTGGTATCAATTACCAATTTCACTTTCCATACGCCCTTGCCGGGGGAAGGCAAAACTTCAAGAGCTGGCTCCGTTGTTGTCGAGTTCATCACTAGATCAGAAACCGTACCCGACGATAACCTTAATGAAGAAACTCTGTTGGTCAACCCGGAGTCTAATTCCTTAGTGATCTTACTGCTTGGAGCCCTCGTCTCCCTCAGGGGAAGAAGATAGTATAAATGGCCATTAACAAGCAGATCAAGATGGAGCAACGGCGATGATATGTGACCCTGACGGAAAATACCATACCCGGGATAATCGCTAATTACAGTTCGAACTAGTACGGGCCCTTCCATCTCCATTATCCCGCCGGAATCCGTCATTATTCGGATAACATCGTTACCTTTTCCAGTCACCACTCCTTTGAGAGAGCAGTTACCCATTGCAGCAAAGAGAGCTCTACGGCCCAAGTCCTAAAGAGCATCAATGTATATTAAAGTCACCGATGTCCAGGGGGTATATGAATATTAATTATATCACAGGACAGAACTCAGAAGGAGACAAAAGTTGTGTGTTGCTTTCGAAAATATTAAGGGGTGGGGTGGGATAGATGTTTAATTAGACCCGTTGAAAGCATCAATTTAGCAAATAGTGATTTGATCCAAGACCATTTAAATAGAGCAAATGGACATGGCAAAGCTTAATTAAGAAAACGGGATTAACGAGAAACGACATATCAAATCCGGACTAATGCAATTCAGGGGGTACAGTACAGTGGTGTGAGCTTCCACTGTTAAGAAACTGTTTGATTCCCTCACTGTTCGTTGCTTTATAGTATATTTGCAAGTGTATGTGAAAAAGAATTCTGTCACAACTCCAAGATGTCAATTGACCTGGCCTCCATGCAATTATTAAACCCCGGGTTGCCTTAGGTTTGTTCATCTTGCTAGTACCTACCCAGTTGCTTTTATTTTCACATTTTGATTAAAGCGAGTGACGTATGTTTTGTTTTTTGTTGGAGTCAAACAGAACTTACTACTAGTAATGAAAAACTGATGGACTCAGAAAGCAACAAGGGCTGGAAATAGAATTGTCCGAACAGCTTTTTCGTGCGTCCTGGCTCTCGAGGATTCTGAGTCACAGCTGACGGGACTAGACATGATGAGCATGTGAAGACGCCATCTAACTGTCGTATTGGTCTCGGCCGGGGGGATTCATGCCAAAACAAATTTGGGACCAAATTGAATCTATCAGTATAACCACCGACCTTTTTGTTCAATCGCAACTCAACATGAACCAGCAAGAACAATTAAACTCCCATCTCATATACTATATTATCAATTCAAGCTGGGAAATCGGGTAAATTAAGGGTGCGTGCTGCTATTTGTTCACCTCCAAGGGGAAACCATCTAACTAGTATATTATATATAAAATGGGTGAAGAAAATATTTGGAGCAGGGTCTCAAAACCTAGAATGACAAAATAGAACACCCTGTGCTTTGCAATATTCCAAAATATGTAACAACTAGTTGGTGTTGACAGGTAGGCATCTAATTGTTTGCTAAATAGGTATCTAATATCTTGTATTTAAATAACTAAAATACCCTTCCATGCATGGCCATTGGGTTCCACCAGAATCAGTGGCAGCTTGCAACCGATGTCTAAGAGAGCAACTTCCATGGCAATCCTTGATGATGATAAGTTGATAACAGTAATGTTTTAAAAATTAATCCAGAATAGGAACCGCTTTGGACTTTGGCCACCGGTTTTTGGGTCGGACCGTCCAGTTTGAGTGGATGGTTTATTGATTTTCTTTAAAAAAAAGTTAAAAAAGGCAAAAAACTGTTATCCAGGTTGAATGGATTGACGGTTTAACTACTTGGGTCATTGGATTGCTGATCAAGTCAACGGTTTTTTTTAGCAAAGAAATAGTTKAAGGGTGAAACGGAACTGGTTGCCTAGATAGTTTTTGGGCCAAACAGTCCAAGGATCAAAAAGGTTCAAAAACCATGGACAGTTGTGCTAAGGTTAAAGTTTAATTTAATTGTTAGTTGTTGGGCCCTTTTTCTACCACACCACAAGGGTTGCATTCGAGCCGAGCCGAAACGAATACTTGGCTATTTGAGCTTACCTTGTTGAAATAGTCTTAGGCTCGAGCTCGATTTGAGCTAGAAACTTGAGCTCAAGCTCGACTACAAGCCAACTTTTTTCTAAAAAATAAAAATTATACATATAAATATATTTTTTATTTTACATACAACAAAATAAGAATTATAAAAATTATTTATTATTATACATATAAAATAAAAAATATACATATAAAAAGTGTTTTTATTTTACATACAAAAATTAAGGTTTATAAAAATTATTTACTATTAAACATAAAAAATAAAAGCATTATATAAAAATATTATTATAATAAAAATTATTTATTATATATGTATGTATGTATGTGTATATAATAAAAATTTAGTTATTTATTTATTTATTATACTAGGCTCGCAAGCCTCACGAGCCGAGCTCAAGAAGCTCGGCTCGATTAGCAAATGGGTCTATGTATCAGGATCGAACTCGGTTTAAACCAAGCCAAGCCGAGCTTTTAACGAGTCAAGCTYGAATAACTCGTGAGAAGCTTGGCTCGTGGCCACCCCTACACACCACCTCACATTTGAGGATGTTGCCACGACATGGGATGGTTTCTAGAGTGCCTTCACAATGTTGCTAGAGGAGAAGAGGAAGAAGGGGCCTTACAATCCGTTTGGTTGCTGAGAAGGGAATGGGAAGGGAAAATTTATTTTCTCATTATTTTCTTGTGTTTGATTACTGAAAAAATTTTGCAAGATGATTCCTAGACACACTGGAAATGAAGAAGAGATCTCATAGGCAATCTTCCCTAACAGTGCTACATAATCTTCATTTCCTTCCGTTCCCTTGTCTTTTGAAACATTTTTCCAAGATTTTGTTGGGTTACAAAGACCCTAAAACCAATAAAATTAAAACCCCAGAACACAAAACCGCACGATGGTGGCTATAGATAAAGAGACAAGCAAAAACCCCATAAATCAGAAAGGTACCATTTCTCAATCCGATGTTGGATTATTCAGTGTTAATATTGGAGAGAACACCTTCACAACGGATTTCACTCTTTGATGTCAAGCTATTCAGGTTGCCGATGTAGGAATTGGCTGACCCACCACATCTTGATGCCTCTACTGCCATGATTTTAGCAGTAGAAGCAGATACAAGGTAACTTAGAAAGAGCTATTCTTTGTAGCGAATAGAGAGAACCCTAGCGTTTTCCTTCTCCACAGCCGGCGGCATGAGGAGACCGATGAACATTGACCGTTGTAAACGTAGGGAGGTAGTGAGAGTCAATTGTGGAGCTTCAGATTTCCATGACTTTTTCTTTCTCATCGGGGTCACACCATTTCAGCACGAACCCACATCCTTGATCTTGTGAACTGGCATTACACGGTTTCCCTACCATCTCGGTAAATAAACACCCAAAAAAGAAAATTTAATGGGAATATTTACATTTTCCCATCTCAATCATAGAAACCAAACGTACCATTAAGCTATGACAAGGCCTCATTGAAATGAAGAAATGAGAGAGTGATTCGTAGTGAGAGAGATACGACCAACTTCCTACTCTAAGTTTATGCATTAATATTTTAGAAAAAGAAATAAAATGTGATGTGATGATGAGTTTTAGAATAAGAGTAAGAAACTAGCGGAGTGGCCCTACTTGGTAGGGTATGGAATGGAACCGTCAACTCGTTGATCTGTTGACCCAGTCATAGGCCAAAAACTGTTAAATCGGTCAACAACCTAGTGACCCGAGCGGTCGAACCGTCAACTTATTGATCCATTCAATGGTTTTTGGCATTTTTTTTATTTTTTTAATTGGGAACCATCCTGGCAACCAGTTCTATTTTATCCTAATCTCGGTCCTTGGCCAAAAAGCGTTGAATCGGTCAATGATCCATTGACCCAGGCGGTCGAACCATTGACCTGTTCAATGGTTTTTGGTCATTTTTTTTTTTAATTTTTGTTGTCAAAACGGGCCATCCATTCAAATCGAATAGTTGAACCGTCGACCTAAAAACCGGTGGCTAGAACGGTCCATTTTCAGGTAGTATGAGTCACATGCTCGAATGACATAACACGTATGGTACTGCTTAATGGATCTCACACACTCAATTTTTTGCCTGTAATGTTTTTTGTCAGAATGGATCGTTCGTTTTTTTTTTTTAATTGGGAACCGTCCAAGCAATCAGTTCTATTTTACCCCAATCCTGGTCCTTGGCCAAAAACCATTGAATCGATCAACGACCCATTGACTCGAGTGGTCGACCCGTTAACCCATTGACCCTCTCAATGGTTTTTGGCATTTTTTTTTATTTTTTTTATTATTTTTTGTTGTCAGAACGGGCCATCCATTCGAACTGGATGGTCAAACCATCAATCCAAAAATTGGTGGCCTAAATGGTTCCATTTTCGGGTCATATGAGTTACACGCTCGAATGGCATAACATGTATAATACTGCTTAATGGATCTCACACACTCAATTTTTTGCCTATAATTTTTGTTGTTCAAACAGGTCATTCGTTTAAAATGGACGGTCAAACCGTATGAGTCATGTTTTGGAATGGCATAACATGTATAATACTGCTTAATGGACCTCACACGCTCAATTTTTTGCTTGTAATTTTTGTTGTCAGAATGGGTCGTCCGTTCGAACCGAACGATCAAACCGTCGACCCGAAATTTGGTGGCCAGAGCGCTTCCAGAATTTTTTGCTCGTAATTTTTTGTTGTCAGAATGGGCCATCCATTTGAACCGAACGGTCGAACTGTCGACCCAAAAACTGGTGGCTAAAATAGTTTCATTTTTGGGTCGTATGAGTGACACGGTCGAATGACATAACACGTATGATACTACTTAATGGACCTCACAAACTCAATTTTTTGCCTATAATTTCTGTTGTCAGAACGGACTATCCATTCGAACTGGATGATCGAACTATCGACCCAAAAACCAGTGGCCAGAACGGTTCTGTAATTTTTGTTGTCAGAATAGGTCATTCGGACGGTCGAACTGTCGATTACCAGAATGTTATTAACAACATTTCTCAATAATAGTAAGTAATTATACTATTTAATTAAATAATCATTAATGATAGTTTTAATAATATTATTTAGTTATTTTTAATATGACAGTAAATATTAAATTTATGAATTGGATTTATTAACAATATTCATTAAATAAATAATTACCAAGATTAAATTAAATTAACAGTATTTATCAATAATAGTTAGTAATTATAATCTTTTATTAAATAATCAATAACATTACTTTTAATAACATTTTAAATTATTTTTAATATAAAAATAATTATTAAATTTATTAATAACAATATTTATAATTTTAATTAAAGTAAATATCTATTTATTAACAATATTTATAATAACAGTAATTTCTAATTATACTCACTAAT